CTCTCCCACCTCAGTCCTCACTCATCCTATCTACTATCTGGACTTGTCCACCTGGCCTAGATGTGGCAGCTAGAGAGTAAAAGCAACAATAATGATGGAAGATACTGGGAAAATTTTGATCAGGTAAGGCTCAATCCCTAAAATTTTATGAAACATCAAGTGATGGAGGACAGAGTGGTTGTCAGGGCTCAAACAGCAGGGTCTGGATTCCAGCCATCAGCTCCACACCTTCCTTCAATGAAAGTCATCTAGTAATGAGCTAACTAGTAATGAACAAAAAATAGGCTGGGTGACTGATAAACAAGGTTGGCTTACATCCCAATCAGGAGTTCAAAGTTGCGAGAAATATTTCCACAGACATGAAGTATTCAATTCTTGGACAAACTTAGGATCAGAAAGTATTTGGCACAAAAGAAAACTGCTCAGTCATAAAGTTTTAACAGGATGCATTTAGCAGGTCTTGTATGTGATTTGAGCTCAGTAATAATAAATGTCAACAAAAATATACATGAACAATTATTAAAAGGTCCCATTTCAATTCATTAGATTTTCTTTCTCCTCTTACAGCTACCCAATTTTTGAATTAAAATAATGAGTAATGATTTGCATTAAAGCAAAAATAAACGGCTTAATATTAATGGGGTTAAAATTGAAGTGCATGATATTCTTGAAATGAATGCTGTAGTTATGCTCAACATTTTTCATGATGTAACAGTAACAGCCTGTGTAAGTATATTAATTACTGCATAGAGAGAGGAAACAAGGGGAACTGACAGTTCAGACACAACAGTTGAGTTACCATGGAAACCAGCAGGCCCAAATCTAAAGATGGACATTACATGGACCAGCATGTAGATGAGAATTACAAATGTGTACTGAAAATTCAGTATTTTTGAGCATTTCTTCGGGTAACTGAGATATTCTCACTTGCATATGCTTGAATAAAATCTTTAAGTGCTTGACACATGCGGTGTGACAGTGGTAATTTTTCACTATTTTCACCACAACTGGCTTTTTCAGCAGGAAAGTTGAGGCTTTACATCAACGGACAAGCGAGTATATTTACTTAACTACAAGTTAAATAATGAAGTCAGGGTTTAGGTCAGAACTGTGTGGTCCATTTGAGGATTCAAACCAAAAAGTGAGTTTGTGAATGAAGTAATTAAAGATGGTGCGGTGACAAGATCATGATAAACATGGAGATTGTATTACGTTCAGAGTAAACTAGAAGAATAAATGAAAGGCCATAAGGAATAAGAATGATCCTAGGGTAAATCAGGAGAGATATTTTCCCATTGGGAAGAGACATCAAAGTAAACTCCAGACATGATAAGCCAAGATTCAGAATGGGGACCCAAGATATAAATATTGCAACTTATGGAGCACCATTGGTATAGGCCTAGCAATGGGCTGAGACACAGCTGTCAAAGCTGCTTGATCTGTGCAAAGTATAATGGAGAAGCCCAGTAAAATTAAGTTAGTCAACCAGCCTAGACCAAAGGGCTGTGGCCACAACAGACAGGTTTAGTGAACAAAGCCTTTTTTTAAATTCATCCACGGGATGTGGGTGTCACTAGCTGGCATCATTCTCATTGTTTGTCCCTACTTGCCCTTGAGAAAGTGGTGGTGAGCTGTCTTCATGAACTGCTGCAGTCCATGTACTGCAAATAGATCCACAATCTTGTTCGGGAGGCAATTCCAGGATTTTGACCCAGTGACACTGAAGGAACTGCAATAAGTCAAGATGGTGAGTGGCTTGGAAGGGAACTTGCAAATGATGGCATTCCCATTATCTTTAGTCCTTTTCCTCCTAGATAGAAGCGGTTATGGATTTGGAAGGTTCTGTTTAAGATTTTAGCGAATTTCTGCAGTGCACCTTGAAGATAGTACACACTGCTGCTACTAAGCGTTCTGGTAGACGTCGTGGATGTTTGTGGATGTGGTGTCAATTATGTGCTGATTTGTCCTGGATGGTGTCAACCTTCTTGTTGGAGCGGCGTTCATACAGGCAAGTGTGGAGTATTCCATCACACTCCTGACTTGTGTCTTGTAGTTAGAGTCATACAGCATGGAAACAAACACTTTGGCCCAACTAGACCATGCCAACCATGTTCCTAAACTTAACTAGTCCCACTTGCCTGCATTTGGCCTGCATCCCTCCAAACTTTCTCTATTCATGTACTTATCCAAATGTCTTTTAAATGCTGTAACTGTACCTGCATCCATCGCTTCCTCTGGCAGTTCATTCCACACATGAACCACTTTCTGCATAAAAAACTTTCTTCTCCTACCTTAAAAATATTGCCTCTTAGTTTTGGAACAAGCTTTGGGCAGTCAGGAAGTAATTACTCACCACTGTATTCCTAGCCTCTGACCTGCTTTTGTAGCCACTGTATTTTTATGGCGAATACAGTTCAGTTTCTAGTCAATGGTAAATCCCAGGATGTTGATCGTACATGATTCAGTGATGGTTAACACCACTGAATGTCAAGGGGCGGTGTCTAAATTGTCTATTATTGGTGATGGTCCTGGCCTTTGTGTGATGTAAATGTTATTTGCCACTTGTTAGCACAAGTGTGGATATTATCCACATCTTGTTGCATTTGAACATGAACTGCTTCAGTACCTTAGAAGTTGACAATGGTGCTGAACATTTGTGCACTCAATCATCCATGAACATCCCATTTCTGATCTTATGATGGATGGCTGGTCATTGATGAAGCAGCTGTAGATGGCTGACCCTAAGACACCACGCTAAGGAACACCTGCAAGGGTGCCCTGGAGCTGAGATGACTGACCCCTAGCAACCACAACCATCTTCCTATTGGCAGGTATGACTCCAACCAGTGAAGAGTTTGCCCCCAATTCCCTTTGTTCCAGTTTTGCTAGGGATCCTTGAGGTCACACTCATTCAAATATGGCCTTGATGTCAAGGATTGTCACTGCCAGAGGTGAGGTGATATTCAGTTCTTTTGTCTATGTTTGAATCAAGGTTGTAATGAGGAGCTGTCAAGCATTCACAAGGGGTAAGGTGCAGATTAACCTAGCCACTAGTATGGTGACATTATTGGATGACTTGGCTAGTAATCGAGTCAAGGTGGCAAGAATGCATTATAACTGGTGGGAAGCAGGGAGAGTGGCAGATTTTGTTGTTCTCCTGGTCAATCATTTGCTGGTATCAGAGACTGATGGTATCCCGGGCAAAACAGATGGTAATGCTGCCTACAGGGCATACACAACAGAAATGTTTCTGCCTGAGAACATGGAAATTAAAAACATTTCTGCAGATTTTGTGATCTAATGATATGGCAATTATGGGTCCAACCTGAATAATTAAACTTCTTGCTCGATTTCGACTATGTTGTAATAATAATAACAATCTGTGTAGACATGTTATTTATTACTACACAGAGACCAGGGGAACTCAGGAGCTAGATAAAAGGATTTAGTTACCATAAAATTAGCAGACCAAAGACTGAAGGCTGAGATAACGGTGGCCTGCACAAGTTTGAGAATTAGAAATGTGCACCAAGAATTCTATCTTGAAGTTCTTTGTGCAACTGGGATGATCTTTTTCCTTGCTTAAGGTTGAATAAAACCTTTACTTGTTTGATATGCAAACTTGACAGTGGTCACAATAGTGTTTTGTCTAAAACCTCTTTCTTCTCTGTTCTCAGCCTGGTCCCATCCCAATCTGCAAACCCACTCCTCTTCTAACATAGCCAACCTCCAAATCCAGTCACACCTAGCCCCAACTTCTGCACTTCATCACTACCCTAAACCCTCTCCTGGAAGTCCGTCATCTCAGCTCCAGGACATCTCTGCAAGAGTTGCTCAGGGTAGTGTCCTAGGCTCAACCATCTTCAGCTGCTTCATCAATGACCTTCCCGCCGTCATAAGATCAAAAGTGGGGATGTTCGTCAATGATTGCACAATGTTCAGCACCATTTGCAACTCCTCAGATACTGAAGCAGTCCAAGTTCAAATGCAACAAGATCTGGACAATATCCAGGCTTGGGCTGACAAGTGGCAAGTAATATTCACATCACACAAATGCCAGGTTATGACCATCATCAATAACAGACAAATTAACCACTGCCCCTGACATTCCAATGGTGTTAGCATCACTGATTCCCCAAATAACAACATCCTGGGGGGGTTACCATTGACCAGAAACTGAACTGGACTCACCACATAAACACAGTGGCTACAAAAGCAGGTCAGAGGCCAGGAATACTGTGGTAAGTAACTCACCTACTGATCCCTCCCACCCCTCCCAAGCCTGCTCACCATTTACAAAGGCACAAGTCAGGAGTATGATGGAATAGACCCCACTTGCCTGGATGGGTGCAGCTCCAATAACATTCCAGAAGCTTGATACCATATAGGACAAAGCAGCACACTTGACTGGCACTACATCCCCAAGCATTCACTCCCTCCACCACTGATACTCAGGAGCAGCTGTGTGTACTATTTTCGAACACCACCTTCTCAAGGGCAACTAGGGGCAGGCAATTAATGCTGGCCAGCCAGCGACACCCACAACCCACGAAAATGAATTTAAAAAGTCAATTCCTTCTTGGATGCCTCCATTGAACATGCCTTCAGGCATTGGACGCCAATCAATGGCTGTCCGGAAATGTTTCTTCACGTTCTGGTCACTGGACTCGAAATGTTAACTTTGATTTCTCTCCACAGATGCTGCCAGACCTGCTGAGATTTTTCCAGAAATTTCTGATTTTGTTTCTCCTGTCTCCCATTGATTTTTTTTTGCCAATTCCCTTAAACCTGCATCATCCTTGCTCTCCCGACTTCCAACAATGAGGGAATATATATATTTTCTCTCTCCGTCTCCATTGTTTAAGTAACGCACCCCCCTCCTCCAACCAGCCTCACGCCCTGCTCATGAGGAATACCTCTCCCAAATCTGGAAAGAAATACAGGGGAAATATAAAGGAGGTACCCCAGCAATTTAAGCAAATATTGTAACCCAAGCTTACGAGAAGAACGGATCTTCCTCGATCTCACGGAACATTGTGTAGGGTCCGAGGGAGGGGATCACTGCCGCTCGACTCGGCACTTTCTCAGCCGCGTTTAAATTTGGCGATGCGCCCTCGCACATTCAGATTCCTCAGCCCCCTCCAGATCGCTTACAATCATCTATCCAATCTACCCACCCTCCCACCCTTCCTTCCTTCAGGGAACTAACTCCGTGCCTCTTCCGACTGACTCTCAGGGAAACTTCCACAGTCGGACCCACATTTTTGTTTTGAAGGACAACGCCAACGTCGCTATGGCAACGCGCACAAGGCGAGCCGCAGGGTGATTGGTGGAAATCTGTCCAATCGGCCCGTCTCCCGCGATAATGGTCACCGCGGCAACCTCCAATCAGAGGTCGGTGCGCCGCCGTATCACAAACAGAAGAGCTATGACATCACTTCCACGAGATACAGTGGTAAGCATGCGCGTTTGGCTGACCGGGATAGCGACGGGCTCCTTTGGTATCCAATACAAACAATTAAGAATGCCCCAAGTGGACATTTGCTGATCAAGGTCCGCAATGTCTCCAAGCTATACCATGAATAAATGGTGTAAGATTTAAACTTTAAAATGAGCACATTTCAGTGAATGCCAACCAAAATGATATTTCAGAATGAGTTGAAGATATAGTAACATAAAAATACTAATTTTGTTATGAAACATAAGTGCTAATCTTGAATGTGAAAATATGTAATATTTTTCAGATTGGACAAAGCTTAGTTAATGCAATTAAACACTAACTAAAATAATGGTGGAAAAAGTTTACAAATTATTGAGTGACCATGTACATTTATGTATAAGATAAGCTGACATTACTTAGGAAAAATATTCATGGTGCAGAAGAAGGCCACAAGGCCCATTCTTTCATCAGTGCTAGGTCAGAAAAAGAACTTATCAGCCAAATCCCATTTTCCAGCTTTGGGTTCCAGAGGTATAAGCTCAGAAAAACCTTGAAGACACAAAAAAAACAAAATATATTTTGGAAAATTGTTAAGCTGCTGAGATAAATGTAGAACAAAAGATTATCAGAGTATTTAGTAGAAAGAACAAAACATGATTTGCATTTGTATAAAGTTGCCATAGTCCTTCTGGACCATAAAGTTACCCTCCCAGAGAGAGAGAGACGACTGGCGGTGGTTTAACTCATGGTCACCCTGCCTCAGGTGAGGGAAGATGGTCTAAAAGAAAGTCCTTAACCTCAGCCATTGAGGGGATTGAACCTAATGCAGGTATGACTCTGCATTGAAATCCAGCTGTCCAGCTAACTGACCCCTAGTATCATTTGTATAATGCTTTTCATAATCTCAGGGATGTATCAAAATGCTTTACAGCCAATTAAGGATTTTTTGATGTGTAACCTCCCTTGTAACACAGAAAGTAAAGGCAATCTATTTGTGTGCAGCGAAGCGATTATAACTGGATAATATCTTCTTCAGTAGTGTTGGTTGTGGGATAAAAAATACTCAGGACAAAAGAAAGAATTCCTGTAATCATCTTTGAAGTACTACCATAACATTTTTATTGTCCATGTGAGAAAGCAGTTTGACATTTCATTCGAAAGTTGGCACCTCTGACAGTTATCATTACCTTAGTATTGCCCTGAGAGCTTTAGCCTGGATTTTGCTGCTTAAGTCTCTGGAGCAGAATTTGAACTCATCATGTCCTGGCAAATCAATGAGTGGTCATCTGAAAGGTGCAGCAAAACATCTGGAACATTTTAAGGACCAGACCCTATGTAAAGAAAATTATAAGTTTGCCCAAAATTGACAAGCTTCTGACACAGCTTACCAGATTTAGTTTATCTAGCTGTCATCAAGATAAATCTGATGCAGAAAGAGGTTGAGATCGTGGCAGGGGAGAAGGGGTCCATTCTGTGTATGCTACCATCCATATTTTTCAAGTGTCTGGGTTCTTCAGGGGCTTCCACGATCTAGTGTGTAAAGGGGGTAGGCGCTTTCCAGTCTAACAAGAAGAGCCTAGACTAACTGTTTAATAATTTACTGCTCTCTGTCTCTCTCCCTTCTTGAATCAGGCATCACATTCGCAGATTTTCAATCTGCTGGAACCCTCCCAGAATCCTGAGAATTCTGGAATATTTCAACCAATACCTCAACATCTCTGTAGCCACTTGCTTTTTAAAACCTTTGGATGCAAGCTATTGGGTCCTGGCAACTTGTCTGCATTAAGTCCCATTAATTTGTCAAATACTTTGTTTCTGTTACAAGACCTTTCCTCTTATTAGCACCTTGTTTATCTGTTATTTTTGGCAGTTTATAATGTCCTTTGCCTCAAGGCCAATTACAAGATATTGGTTTAAATTGTATACTGTTTCCCAGTTAATTAATCAATTAATTTTCCACTTGTACACTCCAAGGAATAGATACTTACTTCAGCTATTCTCTTCCTGTTTATATACCCATGTAAGCTCTTGCTGTTTGTTTCATATTTCTTGCCAATTTACTTTCTAATTTCTCCCTGTTTATTAGCTTTTCAGTCATTTGCTGCTGGTTCCTAAAAGAAATTCCAATCCTTTGGCCTATCAGTAGTTTTCACCTCTTTGTACTTTTGATTGGATATTTCCATGGCTGCCTTTGTTAACCATGGGTGGTTCATCTTTCTCATCGAGTCCTTCTTCACTGGAATAAATTTTTGCCAAGCATGATGAAATACCTGCTGAAATGCCTGCCACTGCTCATCCACTGACTTTCATCTGACTCATTTATCCCAGCCTTCTTTAGACGGCTCTTTCTCCATACCCCTGTAATTGCCCGCATTTAAGTTGAGGGACACTGGTCAGACACCTGAATTGCTCTCACTCAAAACTGAATTTGTAATTTTATCAGGTTATGAAAACTACCCCACAGGATCCTTAACTATGAGATCTCTCATTAATCCTACCTCATTACACATTACCTGTACTAAAATAGCCTGCTCCAGTGAAGGTTGTCCATTTAGGAGAGCTCATGGTGTAATGGTATTTTGAATCACATCTAACACATCAATCGATCATACTCTGGGCATTTCTGGGTTTTAGTCTTTATTGTAAGTCCCAAATTCTCTTTGCTTCTGTAAATGGTCAAAATCATTTCTGTCCTCATTTCTTTGAGCTAAAATTCTCCATTTCCATGTAACCTGTAGTGAAATGATCTCACGAGACCATTAACGTTGTATCTTCCCTTTTCTGCTGTATGGCTAATTGTCTCATTTTTGCCATGAACAAAAGGAGGCGATGGCCTAGTGGTATTATCACGAGACTGTTAATCCAGATATCCAGATAACGTTCTGGGGACCTGGGTTCGAATCCTGCCATGGCAGATGGTAGAATTTGAATTCAATAAATATCTGGAATTAAAAGTCTAAAATTAAAAGATGATTGTCGATTGTTGGGGAAAAACCCATCTAGTTCACTAATGTCCTTTAGGGAAGAAAACTGCCATCCTTACCTGGTCCGGCCTACATATGACTCCAGACCCACAGCAATTGGTTAGACTCTTAACTGCCCTCTGGGCAATTAGGGATGGGCAATAAATGCTGCATCACCAGCAACGCCCTCATCTCATGAATGAATAAAGGAAAAAAAAATTTACCTGAAACTAATCCTTTCCATAGGTTTTTTGAGTGCCTTCATAAATTTGTTCAATGTGTGTCTTTCTAAAACTTTATCTCCTATCAAATTCAGAAGCCTGTTGATACTAAATACTTTTTGCACAAACTAATAACTTAAATGCTAGCACAGTTTCAGGAATTTGTAGATGGAATTTTTACAGTTTTATGTAACCTACTCAATCGCATTATATATTTTTCTATGGAACTACCTTTTCTCTTTCAAAATTTGTCAGCATCTGTCCATGCTACATAAGCAGTTAGTAAATCATCTTATTGATAAATTTTATCCATGAAAATTAATAACTTATCCAAACTTTTGTCTGTATTTAAATCAGGCCACAATTCTGAAAATAAACCTTGCCAGCTTAAGATAGTTTAAGAATAAGGAGGTGCCTCTTTGAAACAGAGATGAGGAAACAGCTTTTTCCCAAGAGTTGAGAGTCTTTGGAATTCCCTTCTTCAAAGGGCAGAGGATAAAAAAAAGTTCAATATTTTTAAGACAGATTCTTGATTACCAAAGGAATGAAAGGTATCAGGAATGTGCAGTGATGTAGAGTTGAGGTTAAAATCAGATCAGCCATAATCTGATTGAATGGCAGAGCAGGTTTGAAGGGCCGAGTGGCATACTCTTATTTCTTGTTTGTATGCGACTTCTCTTGCTGCTACATAGTACTGAATGTGACAATACTTTTCCTTGATTACTCTTCAGTAAGATAATAACCATGGTTACCATATTCTACCACAGGTCATAACGCTCATTTTCAGAAAATAAGAGTGTGTAATTATATCTTGATATTTTCCAATTAGACTCAGCCATCTTTTTGAAGTTTTCTCCAAATTACTCTCTGGTTAGAACACTGTTTACTGAACAAGTTTAGACATGCAAAGAGATAATGATTCTGTTAACAGAAGTTAAATTTCCACACCATGAAAACAAACCACACTGATCACTTACTCCCTGTATTAACCTCTGTGATTATAAAGTCCTAGAAGAATTTAAGTTTCTGAATGGTTATCAGCAAGTTACTCACTTTATCAATAAGACGCAATGTAGTGTGGCAAATGAAAATGCTTTGCACATGCAAACGATTTAATTAAAGAAAACTTATAGCTAATACAAATTAGATAGTTTATTAAATCAGAAAATCTCAACTTATGAATAATTAGCTCACAGTGGAAATTCATAAAACAACGAAATACAGTAATTTCACCACAAACGTTGGGTTTAACGGATTAATCATTTAAGAAACAACAATTCAGAATCCAGGTACTGGGCTTCCCATCAATTTCTCCTGCCGTAGAGAGATTAACCTCTTGAACCACTTTTCTTCTGCTTCTTTCTTGTCCAGGAACAACTGTAGCAAGAACAGAGTTAAGTGCAGGAATTAATTCTCACAATGTATTGTCATTGTTTAACTCAACTTTCTTTATCCAGTTTTAATTGCTTATGCTTACTGATTTTTTTAAACAAGTATAGCTGCAAGAAAATGAGAAGTAACACAACTTGAT